TTTCGATTTGAAAAGCGCAAACTGTTTGGGGTCTACGGTGGTGTAATGTTCTTTGGTTCCAAAGTGAGAATCATGTTTTGGGTCTCAGATTGATGGCCTCAGGATCAGTGCACACAGCTGGATGCCGCTCAACAAACCTTGAGTGCCAACCTTGGAGATGGTCTTTCAGACGACCGTTCGTCATGACCGTACATCATCCTTGCGGATTTTACCGTGCACCAAGCTGCGAGAAAGTCTGACGTGTTTCTTGTGACGCCACCGTGACAGCACAGAAGAACTCTTGGTGACTGTTTGCAGCCCAGTGTCCCCAGTGTCGGCCTGCCCTTTAGGCCCTTTAGGCTACTGATATACATATATATATATAGATAGATAGATAGATTTAGATGGAGATGGCACAACCCATCTCTGCCCTCGCTCTTGTTGAGACACGAGGGATACTGCAGGATGTTGGTTGTTGAACATCCAAGGAGTTTGATTTGCATATTGAGTGAGCAGAGGAACGCGACATTCGGATGCTCAGGCGCCGAAGTTGAACGCCTGCGCCGCACGAACGATGCCCTTTGTCAACAGGCAGCGAGTGCATGGTTAGTTGTCAGGTGTTTGCCAAGAAATCCCTGTGGATCAGTCTCAATAGAAAGCCTCAGAGCCTCCAGAGATCTCTGTGATGAATTCACGAAATCCCTGCAAGAATAGCCCAGTTACCAATGTATTTTAAATGTAACTGTTTGTATTTTGTCGTACCAGTGCTTCTGGATGCACAACAGGTTTTGGGTCCTGATGGAGAGGCTGGAGGGACACTGGTGGCTCAATCTTGTTTCCGAATCAAGAAAAGAACAAACATGGAGTTCAACAGAATAGGCGAGAAAACCAACCTTTGCCAATCTTGTGTATGTTCAACCTTTGGCCATAAATTGATCTTTTGCATTGTTTTGAATCATCTGATGTTGGGTACATCAGCTGCCCTTCTCTTCGTTCGTTGTCCTGTTCGAGCAGTAAACACAGCTCCATGCTGAGGGTCCTTTCGCTGGAGCCCTCCAACAGGTGACGAGCTCGGGTTGAGTGATTCATTGAGTGCTATGGCAATCTCAAGCTGAGCAAGCTAGGCACTTGATTCAGAAGGCACTTTTCGGTGTTTCTGAAAGAAATAAGGCTAACTGAAGTGATGAGGATCCAGTTTTTCAGTTGACTCTGTGATGCCACATGGTGAGCAACTTCCTCGTCTGGGACATCTTACAACGGCAGGTCTCAGTGTTGGACGGTGAAGAGGATCAGTTGATCCGAGACGAAATTGGCAGACTTGTGCTCCCACACGACCGTCCCAAGAGTTTTTTTGCAGATTCTGAGTGTTAAAAGGAACACCACGTGTAGCGGATGTGATCTTTTGACCCACTGTCAATGAGAGGCTTTACTTGTGATTTGCTTAATCTTGTTTACCATATTAAGTTATGTGCCTAAAGCTTTTGTGGAACAAGGCTGTCTTTCGTGGGATGACGACATGCCTGTTGCACTCAGTGGTTTCGGCTCCAAACTCCGAGCCTCGGCGCGCCCGCAGTGCCGATTTTCAGCATGTTTTGCTCAGCTGGAAGCGCCAAACGCCACGGATCTCAAAGGTTCGACTTGGAGACAGGGGCTGCTTTGCTTCTGCAGTATCAAGAACATGGAGAATCGGTCTATCAAGCGATGCAGTGGGTTGCCTCACAGAGAGAGGCCGCGACTTTCGCGCATGTCACTTGGTCGCCGACCCTGACCGCGGAACGCGACGGTACGAGCCGTTCGGAGCGCGATGGTATGAGCCGTTCAACGTTTCCTCCACCTCGGTGATGACTGAAAGCACTATTTCGGCTGTTTCGGCTGCGAAGCCAACACCAAAGTTGTGAGGCACTTTCGCAGCGAAGTTGTGAGTTAGTCGACGTAACAGGATCAACAGGATCCAGGAACTCTCGCCGAAATGCATGTAGCAACTTTAAGCTGGTTTCTCAATATGCGAGCCACTACATAACCATACAGAGAAATTTTCGTCACAGCTTGACTGACCAATAATCTTCTTTGGCTTGCTGGTAATTTGGGTGGGCACAAATGTTGAGACACACCAGATTCATTCTTAGATGCTTTGGATCAAAAACTGATTCCAAAGTTTGATGCGAATCGTCTACACGCACTGAAATTGAGCAGAAACAGCCAGGCAGCACGTGTGGCAGTTCAACGATCCATAGACATATCATATCAACATGCGCTCCTCAAGGGTAGAACCATGGACAGTGGGTGTCGTGAGGTACGAGGCCAGCTGCTGCTCACTACCCAAGCAGGCAGTGTCAAGGTGCCTTTGGCATGTAGACTTCGAGGGACTTGCACAAAGAACACATGCAGGTGCCGCAGGTGCGTGGCACAGTTCTGAGTGCGAAGAGAAGAATATGGCACGTTTCTCCACTGTGACACGATGTTTCTCTTCATCGTCCATGGGGCGACGGGTTCAGCGGCGGTGGCGAGCGGGGATCCGAGCACAGGGTGATGCAGCGGCCTTGGCACTGCGGCTGCAACAGCTTTTGGCGGAGCGCGAGGAGGCCTGCAGGGTTGTCCTCGCCGACTGGTCTTTGAAACATTCAGAAGCGGTTTCTTTGGGATTTGCTATAGGCTTAAATCCATTTAAATGCTTATCATGGTGAACTTGATGGAGCTTAATTGCCGCTTCAGCCTTTAGCCACCAATCATCGAATTGTCTGTGCCTGACCACGACCAGCCCGGGCGTTTCACCCCGCCTGGCGCAACCCGGCATGGCTGGGCCTGGGATCCCATCCAATCCCCCCGCCAAGCAGGTCTCGTTTTGGCCCATTTTCTCATTCACTTCATACGCCACCACAGTTTGCTCCACACCACGGTTTGGTCAAATTCTGCTTTGTAGAGTTTAGAAAGACATCGTCTATAATCTATATAATTACAGGAGAGGAACACAAAGTGTAAGCTTAAGCAAAAGTCCTTTGCTGGTGCCTGGTGAACCAATTTTGCCCAGCCCACATATCATCACATCTCCTCGATTTCACTATGAACGACGAGATCAAAAGGAAAACCATTGACCAATGGGATCTCACTTGAGCACAGGCCTTCTGGGTGGAGCGACAACGTCTCTCTGACCACATCACTTCCTTGGAAAGGACGCACGGGACCGGTCGCTGCTTGGCGGTCACCGTCCGTCGGGACCGGCGGCCGCGGCGGTTCGGTCTGCGGACGTTGGCCGAGGCACCAGCAACCTGCTCCGCCACTACGAATCGGCAGTGAGGGCAGGAACAGAGCTGGAGACTCATTGCTATCAGCATCGGGTAGCTTCAATAGGGGATGAATTTATTAAAACGAGGAGGCGTGTCTGGTCCACAGGGTCTTCTCATCTACTGCTGAACATGGAGGTCTTGGCAAAGTCTTCCTGTTATGAGATGAGGTAGTAGTGAACGGTGAGGTAGTCGCTTCGGAACGCAGAAAAACGATCGCTTCGGAACGCGTGTCATCGCTAGTAGGTTGGAAGCCATCGCTACTACTATGGAGGCCATCGCTAGTAGATTGGAGGCCACCGTAACCACTAGCAAATGAATGAAGGATGCAGAGCATTTGTGTTACATGGTACTGTGGAAGCAATTAGCAAACAGAGATCATCATGTAGATGAACGTCCAGACAGACGCTATTAACACCCCCCACCCGCCCCATCCCCCCCACCCCACCCCATCCTTCATCTTTAAACCCTCCCCATCCGTGTCTGTGTGTGTTCTAAAGTGACCCCAAAAACCAGGTGTGTTGTGTTCCAAAGTGATCTCGCTTTTTATTAACCCTTCCATGGTTTTGGGTTGTTTTGTGTTCCAAAGTGACACATCTTTTGTGTTCCAAAGTGAACTAAAACCTAGTGAACTAGAACTTGTGTTCCAAAGTGACTCTCCCACCGTAGTGGTCCCACCATTTCTTCCAATGTGGGCCACAACATTTTGTTTCTGGTTTCACGCTCTCAATCATTCTCAATCTATATACAACACGGGTGGCGCCGTTTTCCCGCATTCTTTTGCCAAGGCCTGCCTCTGGTGCTGGCTTGGTCTCATGCCTAGAACAGATCAGGTGTTTTTCCATGAGGGTCCCAGAGCTTCAGATCGACCGTCCCAGTAAAATCGAGCCATGGAGGGTTGCTCAAACCTTCTCAGAGTCCCAGTTCCCTCCAGGTCACTGGTGGCTTACGGCGATTACGCCAAACAATTGGCGCGTAGCTGCGCGTGAATGAATGCCGGCTCCATGCCACCTGGAAGAGAGCAGTTTTCCTATCCTCGAAGAGTTTCCAACCTAACGTAGCAGTTTTGAAGAAGAATGCATCAATCGACTCTCAAAAGTGTAGTGTAGTCGTCAAGATTCAGGCATAAGACAGCTTGCCTGACTCATTTCCATCTCACTCAAAGACCATTCAAAGCTTTTGAGTGAACAGCGAGAAAACTCACCACTTGACACAATTCAACACGCTTTCAAGTTTCCAAGCGATGTGGTGAGCAAGTTTGCTTTGGAATCATTAAGACATTCGAACGGTCGTTTTCATCGCCTCGGAGAAGCTGCAGCTCGGTTTTTGGGTGTCAGCTGTGGGTGTCTTCGTATTTGAGAAGAGTGTCTACCAATTTTTCGGACGTGGCGTGAAGAAATTGGTAGGGCTTTCGTTTGAGAACGGAGACCAACACCAGGACGAAGTCTTCGTCCCGTGCTTCCGCTCTCGGCCGAACCCCGCGCAGCGTCGTTTCAACGGTCGTTTCACAGTGGGATGTGGGGAGTCAACGAGGTAGTCGTTGTAGTCCTCTCTTAAGAGCTGCACTAGTAAACAACGCTCAGACAAGTCAAACTGCGAGTTTTCTGGTCTTTGGGGGGTCGCCTGCATACTCTCCGATCCTAGTCCCTACCTGTTGTTTGGGGAAGTGTTTGAGCGAGTATCGCCGCGTCGCCAACGTGAGTATCGCCATGGTCGGCTTGGGGCGAGCGACAACCCGAGTGGCCACCCTGGTGATTGTGACAGCTTCACCCGATTGGATGGCCGAGCACTTCGAGATACTTCAACATCGCACACTGCTGGAGATCACTTTGCCTGGATCACACAACAGTGGCAATTACCAAGGAGGTTTGCATGCGGATTTGCTGCATGTCATAATTGGTGGATTCGGGTGGGTTTCGACCGAACACCGGGCGAGTGCTGCGAAGTCGGAAAGGTGTGGAAGAGATGGGACAGGAAAAAGCAGAGGCTGCAAGGTTGGCCGCGTCTAGCCTTCTCGGTGTGTAGATGTGTAGTATGTTCCAAACTCACCCTGCCGAACGAACGTTGCTTCGACCCCAAGGGTGCTTAAGTGTGCTTGCACGAGAAGCGCAGTAAGCGCAGTGTCTAGGAGTGCCGAGGCTTTGCGAAAGCGACTACAAGTACGGCGAGTACTTGGGAAGTGCAAGTTCTCATTTGTTGCAAGAGTCTGGAAGGCCACTGTTGAGCCAGGCAGAGTTTGATCGGAGCATCTTGGATGGAACAGCCCTGTGTCTTTCCTTTTGAAAGGTCTCGCGTCACACTTCTTTGGAAGAAGTAGGCCCGTTCGTATCTACCTATCGAATATTATCGAATGTACCTTTGGATCCCACTGTAATTCTTAATAGTAATAAGTTGATTGCAACAGACTTTGGATTCTCGGCGCCCTTGGGAGCAGTTCTTTGATTTCTGGCTGAAACGAGTCAACATGCTCGGCCACTTGGCCCAGGAATGATTCCGTGGAACATCAACCACTTTCGACCCATCAATGCACAGCTGTCCGAGGGCGTTCGATTTCTTCATTTGAAGATCTGCAACTTCGGAGCTCCAGGCTTGCCTGGACAGTGGGGACAGATGTATTTTGTGAATTTTTCCGGGGGGGTTGCGCTGAGTCTTACTAAAGTTTACTTTGAAGGACTGATTCTCTCCGGCACTTCTTCTCCTCTGACAGGTGCACCGACCATGGATCTGGGCACCGTGCACTTTCAACACCGAGGCTATACCACCCGGGAGACAGCCACCTGACTCAGCAGTTGTGCCGCTGTTCTCTGGACGTTGCAAGAATCTTCAACTCCGCCACTAACTGCCAGAGTTGGAGCAACAACTTCAGGGAGGAAGGGCGGAGCGCTATTTTTCTAGAGTTTTGTGAGCACCAAGCCACCCCTCTTTCACCCCCAAGGTCGCGTAAGGTCGCCACGTTTGGAAGGTCGCTGGGCGGCGGAGATACCGGGTCGGATCCGGGTCGGTCTCAGGTGGCGTCGACGCTCCAGGAACTGCGCGCCTTCCTGGATGCGCATCCGAAGGAGATCGTGACTCAGCGAGTTATGGGGTGATGATGGGTGGCCTGGGTGGCCGAAGGCGGCAGATGTGACTCTTTCTTCCCCGGCACTTCTGCTACTTGCTACGTACAAATGTGGCATCATGTGCACAATTGATACATGCTGATTTCTCCTGTTCTGATTGATACATGCACACCCTAGTTCGCAGCCCCCAACTGTCAAACCGATGTTTCGAGCGAATTTGGAAGGTAATTCTGGGCTTCAACAACTTACACAACCGCGCCTCGAAGTCCTTCGGAGAAATGGATATTGCCGCACTGGCTGTTGCCCTGGAGACTTCCATAGGCGGGCATGGTGGAAAAGCCTCAAAGGCGGAGGTCTTCTGATTTCCGTTTGAAGGTACCCTCCCTGCCCTCCCTGGTTTTGACATTTTCACTGGAGTTTACCCCCTGTTTGTAGAGGACATTTTTCAGGTCTTTCCTTCCCGACGTTTTGTGCACAAAGAAATCTCATCATCAGGTCCTGAGAATCTCATCAGTCGGGAGCAGCTCTACAGGCAAACGCTGCGGGAACTGGTCGAAGCGAACCGACGAATTGCAGCAGCTTGAAAGAGATTGAGAGCTTGGAGACCTAAACATCCTAAAACGCAACCTTCTGATAAAGGTTCATTCTTGAAAAAGATCCTGTACCTCAAATGCTCATTGAACCACTGTTGCGCAGCGCAGCGTAAAGGACCCATTCTTTTCCATGTGCAGGCAGCAGCCACGTACCTCGCAGAGCTAATTTTGACAGCCCAGGTCTTCTTGAAAGGTGCTCCGCAAGACCTTGGCCATATAATACCCAGTGAGCTTGCGCTAGAAGAGAACTGGTCGCCGGTCATGGCCAGCGGTGACTTGACTGGAGCAAAAGCCTGGCTGCTGAAAGACCTGAAGACCTCAGCGGTGCAACGAGACCGGTTCTATGTCATGCAGGCCAATCCCAACAATGCTGAGGAAAAGATGTACGAACGCATGAATGCAAACAGCAGTCCTGCATCCAACTTGGATTTCTTGGAGAAGTTCTTGCAAGACTTGCCCGCTTTAATACTTCAAGCAGCGCATGAAGAACCGCGTATCCAAATCAACGTGATTGACAGTGATTTTCTGAACATCAGCAACCCCTATGCAACTGCTATGGAGCTGATGATGCCGACAAGGGCCCTGACTGAGGGGTCTACAGGCCTTACAGGCCTTGGTTTCTGGATTCTTGGCCTTTTAAGCCTGTGTGGCTTGCTGGCATGCACGGCTTTCTTGGCTCGCAGGAGTCGGTCAAACGGCTACGATCATCGCTTTGCCAATGATCTTTAGAGATGCGACGATCGGAGAAGTGTGTAGGTAGTTGGGCTCCCCTGCAGCCTGCAGCAAAGGGCTGGCCAAAACATATGGTTTCAATGCCACGTTGCAGATGCAAGATTTGAGCGGATAACTTCCTTTCTTACCGCCCTGAGCCGCGGCATTTGCTGCTGCTAGGCAACCAGTCTTTGTGGGCAAAGATCACATATATAAGATTACTGTATAGCTTGATTTTTTGCCTGATCTTGTGCAAGTAATATTCACTTCTTCTTTGACCGCTGCGATTGGGCTCAGTAAACTACAGTAGCACAGGGGGATTACAGTTCAATCCAGGAGCCAAGCTTGCAGCAAGAGCATCTCCTGTCCGAGAGCTTACCTGTCGGCTCCTGTCCTGCATCGCTTGCTACAGTGACCAGGACCAATCCTTCCATGGCGCTGGTCACCTCCTCAGCGGTGTCTTCGCCTCTCGCGGCCTCTCGCGGCCTCTCGCGACGCCCGGTGACCGTTTCTTGGGAAGCTCCGTTCGTAGCGTCCGATCGCTCCTAGTAGTACGGCCAGGGGCCCCGTTCGCAGCTTCTTGTTCCTAGAATACCGATGCCAGGAGCCCCGTTCGTAGCGTCCTAGCGTCCCCGCTCAAGGCACCTGCTTTTGTCTCCGCCGGTGGGCCGATTCAGCGCCCTGCGCGGGACCTCGAGACGCACGGCGGCGCCGCATCCATCGCATCGCGCGTCGCCGCATCGCGCGTCCTGAGGCAGTGGAACGACCCTCCGTCGCGGCGAAGTTCTCAGAGACCCCACTGGTCAGTCCATGCCCTGCATTCACCTTGCTCCCACCCAAAGCAGGATGTGTCTAAAGAAGCCTGTCCAAGTTCGGAAGAGTCCTCACACAATCCGAGATGTGTACTGTCCAAGGTTTCGACTCCTGAACTGGCCTCGAGCCCTGGCAGTCAGGCAGTGCTGGAAGTGCAGCTGTTTCCGCTGTTTCGGATGGGGAAGGAAGCTGTTGATGTTCCAAAGCTGGATCACACAGTGCGAGATGTTGGAGATAGATAGACGGATTGTTGTGAGTCCCAAGAAAGTCCCACCGAATTGGCAGGCTTCAAAAGCTCTTGCTGCCGGGTCATTGGCTTTGGTGCTGGGCCAGGAACATAGATATTGGGATAAGGAAGAAACCGAGGAACATTTGTTCAGGCTTGTCTAGCAGTAGTTTATGAGGTTGGACAAGACAGAGATGTGGGATGCGCCTCTTGAACTCTTGTTTACACTTTCTGAATGTTAGATTAAATTTGGGTATTCATCCATTTACCAGCCCTTAGGAAAAGGACTCGTTGATGTAGAACTTGGTTTTTGTTGCCATGCCACCAGGATGAAATGAACGATTCGTTGGTAGTTAGTTCCGCCAACGAATAAGGCAGTCGCGCAAAGCCACGCCAGTCCCGCAAGGCCTGGCAGCATCATGCAACCCCTTTAGACATCACGATGCGCAACAGACGTCACGATAGTCACTAGAATTTATGTCCATCTCCCAACAGTATAGCACACATGTTCGCTAGTAGTAACAAGTGCCACGCTACTAGTAACAAGTGCCAGACTAGTAGTAACAAGAAGCTACTAGAAACAAGAAGCTATTAGAAACAAGTGCCTTACTAGTAGTAACAGGTGCCATACTAGTAGTAGCAAGAAGCTAGTAGTAACAAGATCCAATCGATGCGTGGACGCAGGGCCTGCGTGTGGTTCCAACCCGCACGGTGAGAAATGCGGCTCCACCAGGTGGGTGAACAGGGTTTGGTACTGGAGCTTGAGGATGCAGATCTTGAGCCATACTCATCTGGTGGAAGATATCACTGGCTTGACTGGGTTTGCATTTAAAACTTTTTAGCAGATCTTCGCAGACCAGGCGTCTACTGCGAATCTGCGGAGAAATGCATTCGCCGAAAGACCCGCACGGCCGGGGCCTCGAAGTGGCGGACGGACGGACCGCTAGCGGCTAGCGGGCGCCCGGCCAGGCCGGACCGTGCTTTCTTGCTTTGGACAGCATTGCATTTGGCACTTCACTTCTACAGGTGTTTGTTTTATGGCGATTCGTCTGCCACAAAGCATCATAAGCATCCCATTGAGCACCAGAAGGATGAACAAAAGCAACCGATGGAACCGGGGAAGGTGATTTCACTCACTCACCGACGAAGGTGACTGATCTTTATGGCTTTTCAGGACGAATCGGAACCCAAAAATGGACGATAGCCAAAGCGCACAACACACACACACTATGATTCTTTGCTTGCTACATACACACACACACACTATGTATGTATAATTTATGTAATCCCAGTTTCCTTTTGGCTAGGTGCCAGTACCGCAAACATCCTCAATCCCCCAAGAAGACGACCTCAGGCCGATGACCCCCGTGCCCCATAAGGGCATCGCATCGCTACTAGTAACACGGGCATTGCTACTAGTTACTAGTAGCCCTTGTTACTAGTAGCGATGCACATGTTTTAGTAGCTGTTTGCTACTAAGAAGCTTCAAAGTCACACCAAAAAGCTTCCTGTTACTAGTAGCTTCAAAGACCTACTAGTAGCTTCTTGTTCCTAGTAGCGATTCCACCAAGGTCTATGTGGGCGAAGTCCCGGTGGGCTCCGAGCATCCGATTGCCACGCAGACCATGTCGAGACCCTCAGCGGTTGCTCCGCGCGGCGTGCGACGTGGAGCGATTTCCCATGTCGAGGACCACCACCCTGACCAGTGACGTGGATGGAACGGTCGAACAGGCCGAGCCCTGAGCTGTTGGTGGTCCGGTCCGTAGGAGCTAGCAGCAGACCAGCAGAGTCAATGAACAGAAAAAGCAGAATTCCGAAGCTTGTTCACACCACATGGACCGTAGGTTTGGATGTTTGAGAGGCTTTGACAAACGGAAAAAGACAAGTTGCACTGGCTGGCTCTGAGACCAAATGGCTCAGATTACAGCACCGGGACCATTCTCCACGCAGAATCACAGATCACTCAGTTGACATACTGAGATCATGAAGTGTGCAGAGATGGGCATTGACATTGCCGATGGCTTAACCGATTCCAAGTTGAACAATTGCAAGAAGGACTTGGCCATTTTGACAAGACTTGGCGTTTGCCATGTTCTCCAAGCTAAACCATCTTCGCTTCACCCTTGTGTTCTTTGACTTTTGAGGTGCGTGTGACGGTTCAGGGCATGCCAGCTGCTGAGAATTTCGACCAATCGACCGTTGGCACGAAATCGGTCAGCTCGGTCGAGCTCCAAACTGCAGGACGGAAGCGAAAGCTTGCGAACATATCAAGAAGAAGCTCCTTGAGAAAGGTGATCCTGGCTGGTTGAGTCTATTTTTTCACATGCAGCTGGTAGGAGGCCCATGGTTTGGCCACCTGATCCTCTTTTGCTGTATCAAATCAATCATATTTGGGGTGGACGGCTTGAATACGCAGGTTGCAAGACGCCCATCGTGGCTGACATCCACTTCACGCCAAAGGTGGCCTTGGTTTGCGCCGATTTCGTGGACAAGGCCGGACATATTTAGCTAATTACACCATATGACAACATTATATATTTACTTCACTAGTTATAGTTCCCGGGATAGCGAAAGCAACCTGAGGTTCTAACTTCAAGAAAAGGAAAAGGTACCTGTTTGCACTTTTTGGAGCCTGCGTGCTGGTGCCGCGACAGGGTGCCGCTGCAGTTGTGTGTTGCTGTGTGCACTTTGGAGCTTGGATGCAGGGTGCCGCTGCTAGATGTCTATGGCAGTGTGGGCTTTTGAGCCTGGGTGTTGATGCCGCTGCAGGTGGCCGCGAGATGTGTATGGCAGTGAGCGATTTCGGTGCGTGAATGCTTGCTGCTGCAGGGTGCCGGTGCGGGGGTTCAATGCAAGGTAGTGCTGCAAGATGCATTTATGCCGTGTGCGCTTTGGAGGTTGGGTGCTGGTGCTGGTGTCGCTGCAGGGCGGGTATGTCACAAGATTCAAGACACACGTGCCTTTTGCTATCTGGCGTCTATGCCGGCGCAAGATGGCGCAACTCACTCTATATTTTTGGAATCAAGCTATTGATTCTTCTTGATTCCCTGTAATTTGCGGCGACCCCTGCTCCAGGTGCGGGTCAATCCTGGCAATTTTGCCGATGGTCATGGCCTCAACTCGGGCGTGAGCAGCTCACAACCATGACTGGCTGATGACTCAACTCAGGCCGCAAGTCCTTTGACACCATTTCCGAGTTGACTGAGGAGGACAACTGGAATGTCATGTCATTTCAAGTTGTTTCTTTATGTTTCTTTGTAGCCAAGCTGGAAGTGCTTCGACAAAGCTGACTCCGTGAACGTGCAGGATGTGAAGGAAGCCCAAGAAGCCATTGAAGAAGCTTTGACTCCACTCGTATTGCTCTTGGTGATTGGAAGTCACAAGTAGTGCACTTCTTGGCACCAAATTGCACCAAAGATGTCGACTGAGGTGTTGAAGCTCAAGGAGCAAGGCAAAGCAATGCGCATTGGCCCCGCGACCTAGGATTCAGAAAGATGTTTGAAACCTGCAGCTGCTCCACCAGCTTGTCAATTAGTGACGACATCCATTTAATCCAACATCCAACAAGCTTTACATAAAGATACATAGACTTGGAGTCTTCAATTATTCTCATTGAATTTGCTTCTTTGGCTTTGCGATGAAGATGACTAAGGTGTGAATCATGGCTCCCTGGCTGAGCGTATCCTTTTCCAGTATGGCGATTCGTCCGGCACCTGTCCATGTCGTTTCATGTCGTTTCATGTGGTTCCGTCGCCCCTTGCGTGAACCTCTGCAGAGCTTCATCGACCAATCGTCGGGTTTTGGGGTTGTGAGGCCGGAAGGCATGGTGGCTTCAGCCATCGAGTTCGGCGAGATCTGCCGGAAGCACGACTACCATGATTTCATTTTCAGTGGCAACCTGAGCCTCGCGATGCCAGGACGAGATGTTTGGGCGAGAAAAGCAAGTGTGGGAAGGGAATTGAATCAACCCTGGAAATGTGGATTCATGTGGGAGAGTCAACATTTCCAATGCTTGGGGTTATTTTGGGATGGGTGTTGGCGCATGGCAGGCTGCTTGAGCCGATTGACAACCTCATAATATCCTTTGTATCAAAGGTGGAATGACCCAACTGAGAAACAGAACAAAGAACAAGAGATGTTTCTTGAGTCTCCCTTTTGTAGGTTCAGACACTTGCCCCCTACTTCAATCCCCTTCTCCAAAAAAGAACACCAACGGCAGGAAACGGCTGTGTCAACGGCTTGGCCAAGGCATGAAGTCTTCGAACCCACAGGTCATGGTCAGGATCCGAGTCACCCTGGTGCCGCGTGATCCACTGGATCGAACAGACCCGTCTCCGGCCCTTTGGGTCGTCCGAAGCAGTTGTTGTCTTGATCCATCCTTTTGGCAATCCCCATCAGTGGCGACCGGAAATGAAGTGAAATGAGGGGTTCTGAGACTGAAGCAGCATACTTGTGAGACTTTTTGTTGGTTGCAAGACTGAAATCTTGGTATCGATCCTGAGACGAGGTGAACGCGTACAGGCAGCTGGCAAGGGAGATGTACAAGCTGGGCTGGGACCGCTCTTCCCGCGCCAGCGGGCCTTGGGCTTTTGGGGTCAGATTGCAACGTTTCCCGCTGTTGCTGACCTTTCCAAGTTGCTACTCTCCTCGTTTTGTTGTGCTTCCCTGAGCCTGGGAGTACTACACTTTTAGCCACACTACACTTTTAGCGACAGACCTGTGAACATGTTCGATGATCTTTCTATTTCATTCGTTTTCCAGTCCTTTTCAAAGGGATTGGCCAGAAACATGTTCCAAATTCTCTGACCCTGTATGACTCTGCGGCCCCAATCGAAACCTACACATCTCTGGCATGCTCTGAACATCTCTGAACATCTCGGAACCACGATTGCAAAAGGACTCAAGAAAGCACCCGAGGCTATCCCTGGACGAAAGCAGGCACTCCCCACAGCTGGTGATTGCAGGACTATCCCTTGCACTTGGGTGTCACAGAAGCCGGAGGTGGTGCTGACGGACCGGGCCTCAGAGCCGCGACGAGACGAGGACGAGACACAGGCGCTCTCAGAGGGACTGGCCATGTCCACCGAGGACGCATTAAGTCGGCCGTTGGCATCGGAGCGTTGCTGTTGGATGGCCTGGGTAGGGAGCCTCAGAGGTTCTGGAGCACTAGAGGTCTTCATCTGGGCGATGGGAACCAAAAAGGCCCAAGCCCAGTACAGGTTTATATCCCTGGCACTGTTTCATAATTCTTCTGAAATGTTGGGAGGTTAACAAACCCATGTCCACCAGTTTTGTCTCATAATTACATACCTAAATCACTTTCATGGGAGGACCATAATACAGTGGCAATGGAAGAAGAGCTTTATCAATTCCTCTTTGACACGACCAGTGACCACTGACTAAGTCGGGGCCCCATCTCTATGATTTAAATCTGAGCACCTACACCAAACATGTGTCTTATAGAAACATTTGTCCTGGGTCCATAGCACTCCCTTCCTGCCCTCAAGATTCAACACCCCAAATTGCAGAATTGGAGTCCCAAGAATGTACTACATGATGAACCACCACGAGCCGCACCAGCGAATGAGAGCCGCAGGGTGTTTCTCTCTCTCCGCAAAACGGCCATTGTCTGGTCAGTCTGGTCATCTCCATCGGTACTCGCCGTCGACCGTGTTCATCCCTCGCAGTACTCGCCGTCGTCCAGGCGACACCATCCGCGTGTCCCTCACAGAGGATCCTGAGTTTGAGGCCAAGCCATGCATCGCTCTCCGAGGCCGGTGTCCGGACATGGTTTTTTCATGTTTTTTCTTCGTGGGTTTGGTTCACTGGTGACGACGACTCCGCGGTTTCGGTGAACAAGCAGCACCATGGCAGTGGGCTGCAGGTGCGGCCGAGGAGGCACTTAGCAAGGCCAGTGGTGGGAGCTGTTTGAGCTGGCTGCAACGGGCAGAAACTCTGTACATTCAAGTCGACTCAACATCGAAGCAGGCCCTAATTGAAGCAGGTCAGGGATGGTTTTGCTGGTCTCAACATTTCTTGAGCTGTCTTTATTAGGTTGGAGGCCGTCGCTCTGAGGTTGGAGGCCATTGCCATTAGGCTCTTGTCTCGCTCGTTGCAGGGAGTGGAGCCCTTCGACGAGCACACCAAGCGCCGAGAGGGTGTCTTCTACCGCCGGGAGTGGGGAGCCAAAGCTGTGACATCCATCTGTCTGCACCTGAAGACACTGGTGTTGTAGGTGCCGTATGCAGGTGAGCATATGACTCAGCTCAGCCGAATCTCACCACTTGGCGACCGTTTTGGAAGTCGTGACCTTCTTCAAAGAACTTGGTTGAAATGAATTGGTTTAAGGGAAACTCATTCTACAGGAAACAACCGTTTTCACCTCCAAAAAGGATGGGTGTCCTGCAGAATTTCCCTTAAACCAATTCATGGATTGGTTGTTTCGAAAGAGCTCTTTTCTTTTTGGTCAACGAGGTGCAGCTGGCCAATCGATGTGCCCTTGAACCACGACGGCTCTGTGTTCGCGCGCATGTCTGTGGAGAGCTCAGTGGTTCCAAAGACGCTACACATTGCAGGCGTTGTTCAGTTGGTCATTTTGCTGTTGTAGTCAAATTAAACGCGTGTCCATATTTGGAAGAACAAACACGCAATAATGGTCATCCTCAGCCCCTGTTGGTATGGGCTGGAGTTTCCTGAAATTGAAGCTGATGAGCTTTGGAGCCCGGCTGGTTAGGGTGTACGCAGCAGCAGTCTTCTGGTTCCGAAACAGATCCGTGATCCTGTATTTACAGCATGCATCGAAAGGTCTTCGGTTTGCACCCAAACTAGGGAGACCATCACCACCACTGGGCCTTTTTTCTTGCAGGTTTGGTGACGCCTGTGAGAGACCATGCACTGGATGCGCCCAAAACCATGCGCCAATTCATGCAGATGAATCATCCGATGAATGCACGTGCGCTTGGTCTCGGGGGGCTTCAAGAGTTCGCAGTTCAGTCGCTTTGGAATCCCCGGGACCCCTTCGCCGGTTCCCACGAATGCTCGGAGCTAGCTGGAATTCCTCGCGAGGTGAAAGAGTTGGCGGACCTGGACATCCAAAAGCTCTGCGATCGCTTGGGCTTGAGGTCTGGCGGGAGACCGGAGACGGCGCGGGCGACGTACCGGTGTTCGCCAGAAGCACCCGGCGAAACGCAGGTTGGCAACGGTTCACGGGGTCATGGGGGAGAGGTAGACCATGAGACATTTTATTGTAATTACAGTAGGTACTCTTTGATACATTTTCTCCCGGAATTTCCACACATTTCCACACATGAATTTCCACACATGGCATGGATCTGAAAACATCGTTGATCTCAAATTCTCATTGCCTGCAGATCTCTCCTTTCGGTCCCAGAAAGTGATCGATTCGCCTCGCCGCCGCAAAGCGGGCGCCGGGCGCCGAGTCGCCGCAGCGCTCAGACTCCGAGCTGACGGTGACGTTCAGATGGAGTGGAAAAGCGTTGATGCAGTGGCAGCTTAGCTTAGCTGAAGAGAAGTAGGACACTTCACAAACAGTGGTAGGACACTGAAGGCCCGTGCTGGCACAGCGCTTGCTGGAAAGATACACACCGATGTTGATGTTGATGAATGTATGTGTGTAGCTATACTGCATACAGTATAATATAGTATCAGGTAGGTTCAAAGCACTTGTCGAGAGTAAGCCTTGCCGGCCTCGGTGTGGTACCTACCAGGTCTGGACTTGATGTTCCGGAGACCAACAAACTAGTTCCTGGCCATTCTACGAATCATCATAGTACTCTGAGATTTTCTGTTTGTAACGTTTAAAAGAAGAAAAAACCAACAACCGCCTGTGTGATATGAGGTGCTCGACGGAATGGTCACACCCAACGTTGGTGTCAAGCTGAAGACCCTCTTGGACGTGCCCACAGGCTGCGAAATCGGCAAAACCGAGCAAGGCCAAAGATGTTGATGCCCTGATCCGGTTTCCTTGGTCTCCACCACTGATTTGTTGGTAGGCCCAACTGCTGGTTGGTGTGCTTTCTTACTGAGTGAAGCTCAAAAGGCCATGGGCTGCAGTTGTAAAATGCCAGGTGTGATTTGCAAAGCTGGACCCAATGTCCCTGAAGGTGTGCGGAGCTCAAGGTGTGGTGGAGTGTTTCTGTGTGTGTGTGTGTGGGGCAAAAGATAGGAAGATAGCTGCCTTGGTCCTTAGTACTGCCCTGATTGGGCACTTTGTGTCTCTCTTTCTGCCTTTCCCATTTGGTTTTGCTTGCCTTGGTATTGCCTTGAGAGTGATACTCGATGTGGCTTCACGGCACACTTCGAGAGATGATGTTCACGGCGCGAGGAACAAAGATGCTTGAAGTCTATTGGCCATGCAGTCAAAGGACTTATATCTAAGTCCTTTGCATGTCAGGCCTGAATAGGACCTATAGGACACAATTTCTTGCTCAGCAAGCCTTTTGGCATCCACCTCTCGCAAGATACCGAGCCAAATCACATACCTGTTTCGCATTGAAGTCTTGGCGCTACAAGACGGCGCCAACAGCCAGGTTAGACAGAATTGCACAGGTAGGAACAAGCAGGGCTTTCAAACTCCGAAAGTACCTTCAAACCTTTTAACCAGGTTCCACGCTACAAAATTCCCCGAAGTTTGAACATGGTGAGGCGCCGGCTCTTTTTTGATGTGCCGTTAAACCTTTGCGCCGAGGCAACTGTGATGGTGACTGCCGCAGAGGCAGCCAAAGGCGCAGCTGAACTTTTCCCAGCTTGTTGGATTGCTAGACGTTGATCTACTGGACCCCATCCAAGTCGTTCCGGCTGGAGTAGGTCAAAGAGTCTTGAGATTTTCTGAGCCAGTCGCTCCGTTGCTTTGGGCTGCTTTCACCTCCAGGTGACAAGATGTCCACAACTTAGAAGCTGCAACGGTCTTCAGATCTTCAATCAGTGACTTCTTTGGTGCTGCAGTAGACTTCTGTTGTATGAACAGATGACCCGTAATTGCAGGTGGGATCGGGGGCCAGGCTTCGCCAGGCTTTGTCTGAACATGACCCGCGAATCGGGGTCCTGCCAAGCGACATCCCTTTCGACCCGCGAATCGGGGCCCAAAGCACCACGCTTTTTGCCATCCAAACCCGGTTCCAAGACGACCTGGCTACTGGTGCGGGCCGGTGTGGGTGTTCATGGGTGTTGTTTTTGGGGGTATTTGCTTTCTTTTTCCTCAACCAACTTCAGCAACTAAGGGACGAGCGATTGGGTGGCTATGCCATCGTTTTTGATGGTGAAGAGTCCGAGGACGGCCGCTGCGGCGCCACCAACCTAGTTGGCTAGCCCATATATACTCATTCAAAGACGTAGATAGCGAAACGCTGAAGAGCTCAAGCACATGACGCTGTTCCTCTTTGTTCCTATTGGATTTACATTCCCTCATATCCTTTATCACTCCAAGATAGTCGTTCTAGCAATGGCAGGAGATGATGTTGGATGCTATCAACAAGACGTCGTTGGCTTCTCACTAGACCCAGTGACCAGACGTCGTGGGCTGCACAGGTTCAGACGGCCTTCTGTCTCATGCCGCTCAGGCCGAGGTTTGCGCTCTTGAAGCCCAATGCTAGACATGGCAGGACTGGCCGGGCTGCAGCCTAGATGTTTGCAAGCGACCCGAACCGAAGGTTATTGTATTGCACGATGTAGCACGTGAAGCTGTTGATGCTGTATGCTGTTGTGCATTTGTTTATTCAGAACTGCTTTGGTATTCAATCTGCTTCGTGCAGGACGTTTGTCTCTAGAAGGCCTTCTGCGTCATGTTTGTGGGGGGAGAGAGGGCGATTCAACTGGTAACTGTCAACCGTTTCCCTTTTGTGCAGAGTGCACTTCAAGAACGAGGGTAACTCCCGTTTATAGGGTTTGTGACAAACGAGCATCCAGTGGCACAAGGTCCTTTCATGTTAGACAGACTCTAGTTGGAATCTTCTTGAGCATCGAAGGGCCACAAATATCCTTGTACTGTAACATTCCCCGATTCTGTCGCTGTTGTGGGTGTGTTCCGCAGCCGCTGGTTTGTTTTTGTCTGTTTGGGTGGATTGATGCCGATTCACCGCGCAGGTTTTTTGCCAAGCTCAGTCAGTGCAAGAGTTCGGTCTGATCCTCAGATCCTTCATCTCGGCCGGCCAAGACCCGCCCAGCGACACGCGCGACATGCGCGGGGTGCGGCGCACCCAATAACGGGTTTGGTGCGCTTGGGCTGCTTCTCTTCGTGGCCGAGCCTCACCGTGTTTTGCATGGACTTCCAGGTGCCGGTGATGCTTTGGTTCGAGTATCCCAAGGAGACCGGGGGGTGAAAAAAGGCGCCGATTTGGCTGACCTTTTGGGCGGAATAGGTCGATGTTGAAGAGGTCACTGAGTGCGGGAGAACCTTCCTCAAAGATCTTAAAGGGAAACAACCCCCATGGTCACTGACCAAAAATATGGTGTCCTTTCATTCTCTTCCCCTATTGAGCCTGCATCAACCATGGACCACCATTGGCGGTTTGTTGTGTTCTCTGGGCTGTTCACTTGTCACTGCGCAGGAAGATGGCAAGGACCAAGACGACGTTGTGCGCACCCTTGGAAGATCAACACTAGCTTCCCACTCCAAGCGTTCGCATTCTCAGGTCGTTGATGCATCTGCAGACTTCGGTAGTCTTTTTGTGGATGCTCAGCGGCAGATGATGCGCAATGACACAGTAGAAGAAGAGGTCACAATATGTCACAATGAGGCCACCGACACATTTGCCTAGCTGGCTCATTCTAAGGATGGCATGGGTGAAGGACTTCTGTGGGATGCAGAGGCGAGTTGTTGACCTCCCATACTGCCACTGGAGAGCTTGGGTCTTGTACATCATTCTGGTCCGACTTGTTCGCGGCCAGAAAGGATGCTTTGCAGCCAAACCCATCGTGTTATTTCTGGTCAGCAAACTCGCATCTCTTGGCTGCAGCCTTCGTGTTTTGGACGACGGCTCTTGAATCCATTTCACCTCCAGTGCCCTGCCAAAGGAGCTCTCTGCTGACATGCTGCGGGAGTCTTCCTTCAACCTCTTGCAGGTGGGTCCTTGGCGCGGGCTGCACTGTTCGGAAGATCTGAAGCACTCGTTATGAGACTCGTATGATATCCGATATTAGATGTAGGGCAGCTAAGGCTTCCCTTGGAAGTGGCGGATTCATTGAGTCAAGTCAAGCGAAGTTGTCAGTCATCAGTCATGCGCCGCAGTCCAAGGCAGGTCATCCGCCAACTCAAGCGAGTCTTTAAGTAGCAGATTGGCCAGGCCTCCCGTATGCGAATCTCCAAGACGGAATTCATCAGCTGTCCTTCCTGCGGACGGACCTTGTTCAACCTGTCGAAGACTTGGAGATTTCTTCCTTCCGGAAAAAAAAACAGAAAAAGAGCAGAACAGAAGACTCAGTCAACCTTCCAGAGGGCTTCCAGTGAAATCCGGTTTCCCACCGAATCCATTCCGTCGGGTTTTGAAAGCACTTTCCGACCTGAAAGGGCCGCCCATTTCATGGATTCCTCTGAGGCAGGAGACCACTGCGAAAATCCAGGAGCGAACTGGACATCTCCCTGGTGTCCGAATAGCCGTCATGGGTTGCATTGTGAATGGGCACCAGCCTTAGAGGAAGTCAGATTCAGAGCCAACAGGCCAAGTTGGCTTAGGCGACTAGTAACTTAGGTGGGTCTTTTGTAGTAGGCAACTGGCACTGGTCGAAGCTGGGCAAGAACAGGACTGGGTGGTTCTCTGATTTGGGGAGTTAGGCGAAGACGGAGTGAAGGAGATTCCAGGAGATGAAGGACCGGAAGACAATGGAAGACATGTTGTGTTTCCTCATGTAAGAATGTTCCTTGCCGCCAGCCTGAGGCCCGGAGAAATGGCAGATGCAGATTTTGGCTACGTGCAATGCTTAGTGCACAGGAGTCGCATAGGGGTTTATTCAAATGGGAGTCTGTGGAACCCCAGAAAGGAAGCTTGGGGATAGCAGGGTCTCTATCAGGTGGTGAGTTCCAAACATCTCTGTTTGACGTTATAAATTTTCCTTGAGGTTGGCAGCGGTGTTGGAAAGTGTGGACCTCAGACTCAACAGGGCTTGGAGCCGTCTATCCGTTGCAGAAACTCCGAAACCATGGACCCAGGGTGGATCTCTACGTGAAATACGACTGCGTCAAGAGAGGGATTCCCTCAGAGAATGCCGTCGAGGCTGAGAGAGCGGTTTTCAGAACTCGTTCCCTCTGTCTACGGCGTAGACACGGTTTGCAACTCACAGGGAATGAGACTGGCTGGAACCAATTGATCTCTCTTTTTTGGGCGAAGCTTCCCGAAGCTTCCCTACGAGTCGCAGCAGTCAGCTGTCTATGCTTTCTCCACGGCCTACAGCTCTATGATGTTCTGGCCATGTCTTTTCTCTTTCAGTTGATGATGTCCATCTTCGTCTCGTCGTCTCACAGGCACTGGTGGACCTCATCAAAGAGTCATCGCCTGAGCGAAATGGTTCGGTCCCTCGTTCGGTACGTGGGGACGTCGATGTCGGGGCGTTCGACGTGTGCAGGAATGATCGCTGGACTGAGCCAGCGGATGCAGAAGATGTGGAGGCCGAGGTCGCCCAAGTTACGGCCGGTAGGGCGAAAGCGGCCGCGAAACGCCCACCACTGGCTGACTGGAAACGGATGTAGTTTGGCAAGATGGACTGATCACCTTTGTGGGAGATGCTGGGAGTTTCTTTCTTATTTTGCAACACACTCAACTCCCATCAACTCCTTAATTCATCTTAACTGCTGGAAAGAACTCACAAGAGCATGCGCGCCAAGAATGTTGAGAGGAGAAGACTAAAATGGAGGATACTAAAACAAGGTTCCTGTTGAGCTCATTTGCCCACCAATCCTCAATCCAAGCGTCCTGGAAAGGTTGAACATGCCGCCAAAAGGGGCAAGGCACCCCCTTCAACTGCCATTCTTTTCGGCCTTGGGCCTTGGAGCTCGACTCAATCGGGTGAATGCAGTCCACTCTTGGACTCCAAATGAGGAGTTCCTCAAAGAGTTCCTTTCTTATAATTTTTCTTCCAACTTAGAAGAGCCTTAAGAAAGGAAAGGCGTCATGTCCCTGCCAGGTCGGAGCTGTGGCAGTGCTTTGAGACGCCTTGGCCCTGCCAGGTCGTGCCCTTTTGAGCTCAAAGCACACAAGCTGTCACAAGCTGCAAGTAGGTCTCATCAGGTCCTTCTCGTAAGGAAGGACGGGTTCAACTTGGATTCTCCAAACGAGACCAAACACCTACAAACCCCGCGATTGATCTAGAAGAGACATGAGAGAGATTGAGAGAGCATTTTGCATGTTTCTATTTGTTTCTTATTTTTGCTGCCAAGCTTTGAGCAACTCTCGTCTTTGGCTTCGGGCGATCACCCGTTGCTTAGAAGACTTCCTTTCTCCAGCTGAAATCCCACCTCCGGTAACCACTACCGGTGTCGAAGATGCTTGAAGAAGGCCATTCAGCCACCAATGAAGTAGCATGTCAGATAGACAGTCCACCAAAAAGTATGTTGCTCCCTTTCTCTATTCTGGCGAAGCTTATAGTGCTTCCATGGTGAAACATGCTGAATGATCAATACCAAGCAATGGTGCCTTCCTAAAGTTTTCCACTTGAAGCATGCACAACCTCAGAGCCAGAGCTATCAAGAAATCGCTTCGGTCTTAAGTCTCAATTGGGATTTCAGCGCATGTCATTCTGTGAGCCCAGTGCCAGTTGCAGCGTGACCATTCGTGGAGCTGCGCGGCATCGCTTTAGCAGGGCTACCAGAGAGCCACCCGTTCGCTCAACGAAGTTTGTGAAAAGTCGGACTTGACTGGGTGTCTCAAAATAGGAGATAGAAGGAAACCACAGGAAAATCCAAATACCCCGGAATTGTTGCAAAACTGGTTGTGTGACCCATCATTTTGAGACAGCCTTTGCCTGCACTCAAGCGAGCAGCTGGACCACCGTGCCACACACATGTTCCTGGCTGAGCAAAACGCTAACTGGGTTCCTGCTTGAGCCCAGGAGCCACATTGAATCACCATGATGTTCCAGTGACACGGCATGTTCCCAAACTTTTTGGCTTGAGTTATACCCACCTTGGGCATCTTCCCAGCGCTGGTCTCAGTTTCCTTATTTGTAAAAGTACGTGCACGAAAGAAAGACCCTTGCGGCTGAGGCAGGGCAAAGTGAATGCCTGAGACTGCATTGTAAGAATGGCCTCAGAGGACCGCCTTGCAGTACAGACCTCATGTGAGGAGATGTCCCCAAACCAGGCAGGGCCGGCATGAGCATCCTGCCTTGCAGGACATCGTTCGGCAAGAGCGCCCTGGTGGAGCTATCGCATCGCCATGTTGTTTCAAACCACAAGATGAACACTGGGGTGCTGGCATTTAGAGGTTGTGAAAGATGGGCGTTTTTGATCATCCCTGATCCTGACATCGCGATTATGTACTAGTGTGGGCCTGTGCTTGCAGTGCAACGGGGACGTTGCAGGGCTGCGCTGCATAAGGCTATCACTCGTGTCGCAGTTGTTTATGGTTGACAGAATAGAATAGATGGCCTTTTAACAGGTCTGCTTCTAGTTTAGACGCTGCCTGCCCCAGAAGGGTGTTAGAGTGCACATTGGTTGTGATGCAATGCGATGGTCGAAGAGGATGGCCAAGCTGCTGCCAGTTCAGGAAAGACCCCCTGACCGGTTGCAGCCTGTTGCAGAGTGTCGCCAAAAATCGTTTGGGGAATGAGTGATGAACTCTCTTCACTGTGGCGAATCATTTGCTTAAGGACACTTGGCATTCTGAAGAAGAAGAGGGTTGAGGATCGATTCTGTGTTCTATACAAGGACCGGCTCCCGTCGGAAGGCACTCCGTCATCGCCGCCATCGCCTCGATTGTCCTGTCCTCCCGTTCCCACCAGGATCGCCTCGATTACTTCACCTCCGAAGAAGCTGCGAAGTCGGAACAGCCACGGGGCCGTTTGGCTCTCAAGGAGGTGGACAGCATCCAGGCGCTGAGAGGTCCCGGTCCCCATGCGGTCCCGGGTTGTCCCGCGGTGGGACGGTTCGGTGGCGGTGCAAATGGGTTTAGTTCTGTTCTTCTTCAGGTGACGAGACCAGACGGAGACCCCCACTGAAGCGGTCATAACATCTGGTTTGCAATTGGCGAACTTCAGTGTGCAAGGACAATGAAGATGGCTTCACTCTCAAGCTCACATCAGGCCAGACTGATTTGCCTCGTTCTAGCACTTGAACTGTTGCATGCCGATTGCATGCGTGTCATCTCCACAAGAAGATAGGCCTACAGGAGCCGTTAATTCATCATTTGTCAGTGTTGCAGTAAGCTGAATTTTTAACTCACCGGGCAAGTTCCTAAGGGTCCTAAGCACCTGCTCTTCGCCTTTGAGAGATCGTTGGAGCCCGATCCGCGCGATCGTTTGGAAGGTCAAAGCCTTGCCCTGAAGACGTCCGAGGAGTCAAAGCAGCAGTGGTTGGCCTCCTTGGAGCCTCTGTGCTGCTGGCAGCTTGAACGCTTCGGCAAAGAAGCCGGTGTTGGGGCCGCCAGAGGATAGATTTATGATTTATCATGATTTATGCACCAGCAGTCACAAAGGGGTGCTTAATGGAGGGTACGGGCAAATTATCCACTCACTTAGGTGACTGCTGGTAGATGCTGTGGAGTTGTGTTTGTCTTTTTCCTTTTGCTCTTTCCCACGAAGAGAAAGCTTAGACTTCTCTAGAATTAGGACCCATCCAGTTGTCATTCCGTACGGAATATCCGCAAGAATGTTGGAATGGATCTGCAGCTGACAATGCCAGGCTAAAAGTAAACAAGGCAGGATTTGCATTGCAGAGATTTGGATGCTGCTCACTTGCTTTCGTAAGTCTGTGAAAGATCGATGCATGTTTGAGCTTGTTTGGACTGGCTTTTGACTACCGCCCGATGATCTTCCACAGGTCTCTGACAGCCAAACACAGCATGTGAAGAACAGCCCTTCAGATCCTGATCATGCCTTTCCACTCAAACTCACAGCAAACCAGATATCACCTTGAAGCAACCCAACCACCGAAACGCAGCCCAACGACCACCGAAACACCACAGTGCCGAAACACCCTCGCCGACCCACGCGGAGCAACGCCGCCACGGCCACGGACGCCATGGACGCCCCGGGCCGCCGGCGTGGGAGGCGGCAAGCGGATGAAGATCGCCGGGCCGAACGCACGCAGGTGGGCCAAGGGTGTGATGTGGTGGTGGTTTCTGGAGTTGGAAGACTCGGACGAAAGAGAGCAGTTTTGGCAGTTTTGATGGTGATTCAACCACGAACAGCGACCGAATTGGCTGTCTTTTCATAGCACTAGTACCAGGCTTTTCGATAAGGAAAACCAGGTTTTGGTAAAAATGAGTGTGGGTGAAGAAATACCCCAAAACAGGCCCCACACATCGGGAGGTTGACCCTGCAGTCCATTGGTCCGGTGGGACTAGAGTTTTGATGTGACATCTTCAGCACTGTAAGTGAGCCCTGTAAGTCTTCACACAGGCACCGGTGGGGCGAAGATCAAGCTTGCTTTCTGCTATCTGAGCACATACATAGGATCGATTGAGTCTAGAGTCTAGAGGCGCTTACCCTAGACTCTTGAGCGACTCTTGGGACGTGTGCCCAGGTCTTTCAGAAGACAAAGACGCTTGGTCATGAAACAGACACTCTTTGGTGTTTTTCTAGTCATCCCATATGGCGCTTGGAATCCATTGGGCCTCAAAGGAGGTCTGTCACGGCAAATCCGCTGGCCAAGGATGTGCAAATTCCACCAAATGGGTAGCTGTCAGTGCCCAAGCTGCATGAATGCATGATCACTGAGACCGGCCCAGGGCTTCCACCCCCCGTTTGCGGAACACCAAGAAGTTGACGTTCCGCCACTCACGTCGTCCAATGTCGTTTGCTCAAGGTCTCAGTGGACCGAACGGTGTGCCCCTTCTGGTCCAGAATCAACTCCAAGGAGTCAAATTGGTTCCAGGTTGAGAAACTGAGTAACCTGGAAGGGGGGGGTTGGTCAGGGGTTGAGAAACAAGGTTGGTCAGGGGTAACGGAGTCTGCAGGTTGATCAGGGGTTGATTCCTTGATGTCTTCTTCCTTTGTTCCAAGGAGAGGTTCAGACTGCCGCTTTGCCCATGACCAATGACACTTGGCTGCAACAGCAACCAAACCACTTGTTGAGCTGCAGCAGTGGGGTGTGAGCTACAGCAGTGGCTGCTTCCCGGGAAGCGACTGAGGTGAGCTCCAGCACTTGCCAGATCTAGCCCGCACCAAGATCTGCAAGACGCTGCTGCAAACTGGGCTTTGCGAGGATGTTTTTTCTGGTGTGAAACGTGAAACACAGCGATATCATCAATTCAGACTTTGACTTTGGAACCACCTGAACATGACTAACACAACTGCCCCAATATGAAGTCGATCCTTTGGAAAACACATCTCTATTGGGACTAAGTTTGCACCGTTGGACATGACTGGCCGGATGCTTTTCTGATGTTTTTGATTTGCCCTTGGAGGACCCGCATTGCTCTTATGCCCACAGCAGAGAAGAGTGCCTCGCCGGCGAAATCGCTTGCAGCTGGTGGGGGGTCGTGGTGCCTGGCGCCGTCGCAGATACGGGGAACCTGGATGACAGGTCCCGACTTGGACCCATTTCATTTGCCCTTTTTTCAACCACACCATTCTTTGGGCGCATGGGGCAAGACTGCCAGAAAGACGTTCAGGTACCGCGTGGTGCCTGGTTTTTCGGCAGCAGATCAAAGAGAAGCGGAGATGCAGCTAGTGCAGCTGGATCAGATGATGAGGACTCGGTTGCATGGAGATCAACTCGGGCTTGGAGATTGGCAGTTGGTGCGCTGGTAGGTGAGTTTGGTGAGTTTTGGTAGGCCCTATAGGCTTTTGAACCAACAGCTTGTAGGGCAAAGCAATTTAACGATTTTAAACGTCTCATCACATGAGGATTTCCAAGCATCTCTTGTCTTTTGTTGAGGATGTCGTTGGGTTCCAGAATTTCCTTCACTAACCGGCATCATCCATAGTTACTGATAATGGAAGAACTACCCAAGACAGTGGCAGATCTTTTCATCGGAGGACTGGCAGACTGCCCATGGAGGCAAGGCCTCCAGAGCCAAAGCAGGTGCGGAAGGAAGCGGTTGGGTGAGTAGCGGTGGACGGCTGTTCCTCACCTAGTTGTTTGTTTGCTGCTAGTAGTAATGCACTTGTTACTAGTAGCGTTGCACTTGTTACTAGTAGCAAGAAGCTACTCGTGGCTTGTTTGTTCTGAGTTTAGGTTCTGGCTGTTGACGTGTTCCTTCACTGTCTCTTTGCGTCTCACTGTCTCTTTGACTTGGCAACGCGTCTTAGCGTTGGCAATCGCCTCTATGCACCTGAAAAGTGTCGGGTTCCTCGGTTGCCACGGTTTAGAGGGCAGGAGACCTCGTTGGTCGCAGCGATTGCCACGGGCAAATTGGGTCACAACTTCGGTGACCTTGGAATTGCGTGGAGTCTATAGGGGCAGCTGTTGTTGGTCGCAGCGAGCCTGCTGTGTTTCGTGCGCACGGGATGTACACGATGCTTGGAGAGAGTCACTTTGACCTGCAGGTGAATGGACAGAAGCAAGCGGCACAGCCCATGTACCAGGCAGGAGGAGAACAAACAAGAAGTTGGCATGAGCCTGGGCGGAACCCTTGTCCAGCACTCTTATCATCCCTTATCATGGATTCCCTGCCCCAACGAGCCACAGCATGGACCATGAGTTGAGAAATTGAATCACCAAATTCACAAATTAATGGGCCGATCCGACCCCATCGGATCTTCGTTTCACTCGGAGAGGGTGCATGTGTACTGCGTTCCACCGATGTATTCCCACGAAGTGGATCTGAGCACCCGCACAGTCCCATCGACGCTGTTTGTGCTCAGTCCAATCTTCTATGTGGTACACCCGTGCTCTTCGTGCCACAACTTCAGTCCATGGTACCTGGGCAAAGAAGGGTGGACATCAAGAAGGTTGTCCCCCAACTCATCCCAGCCCCAAGCATATTTATATCACCTGTTTCTTTTGTTCTGGTATAGATTTGTGGAGGACCAGGTCGGGCGACTTCTAGCATGATGCCATGTTTTTTTCAACCACTCGATTTTCTCAGCAAGGTCCTGACATGTGGGTCCGTTTGTGTCTTTAAACTTGAGACTAACGACTAACATACACGTCTTTTTGACGGCACCGTAAAGCTCACATAAGTTGATGTACTGGGCTGGAGATCCCTAGGGCCTTCTCAGAACAGCACAATATCAAAAGACAAGATCCACAGAGGGAAGCAGCCACGGGGCCTTGAGGGAGCTTTGAACAAAGGGGGCATTCATTTTTGTGAGATGTTTGGCGTCCGGAGGAGAAACCGGCGGCTTCAGCCGCCTCATTTTTCGTCCGTGCGTGAAACTTGAGGTTTCCCAGGGTGATGCGTATCCACCGATTTTACCGCCGAACTCTCCAAGCAATGAGAAGAAAAGCGTCGGAGACCTAGCTTGCAGCTACTGGTAGACGTGCGCCATGCGACAGCGATCGGCGCTGAGTTTGGACTGTAGGCCGTGAAAGACCCACCCTTGGCTATGCACTCAGAGTGTGGCATGTGGAACAGCTCGCTCGCTATGGATCAACAGGAAGACCTAACCATGCATCAACGACGTGGCAGCAAAGTACTTGGTTGATTTTCGGAAGGGTTGTTGGTAGTACAGGTTGCTATATCAAGCAGCCAAATTGTCAAGCAGACCGTGAAAAGACACCTTGAAGTCAGCAAGATTGTTGCCAGGCTGCCAAGTGTTGTTTTCTTCTCGTAGCTTCTGACTTAGGCTCCGCAAATTCCCAGTCAACCTCATCTGGAGAACGCCATGCGACTGCAGGTGGGCAATCAAGTTGTAAAGCTGGGCAAGAGGCCGATGTATGAGAATATTACAGTACATACTCTGAACCTGTACACAGGACTGGTGTGAGCACTAACTACGCGTTTGTCGTTTGAGCATGGGGGACCAGTGTGGTGTAGCGTGTTTCATTTTCCGCACTATCACTATAGGACATCCGTTTTCTGCTTGACGGTTCCAAAGTGAACACCCTTTCCTCGTAGAATCCTGCAAGACATTTATAATGTCACCTGACATGGTTGAATTTCCTCCCTCCAAAGAGAGCGATCATTGGCCGTCCCACACCGGCCACACAACATGGACTTCTTAATTCGACCGCAGTTGATCCGCATTGATGTTGTAAGACCTGGCAAGAAGAAAACACATTCCTCCTAAAGTATGCTCGCCTGGTCCTGTTCGCCTAGATTGGTTTTGTAGCAACAGTTATTGCTGAGTTATTACCTGCGCTGCACACCCACTGCATGCATCTCTTCCTCCAGACTCTAGGAGCTTTTTGTGCCAAGAAAGTTCAGGTTTCCCCCTGTCTCAAGGTCCACCAGAGGTTTGACTCAAGGCGATGCCGCCATGCCCCCCCAACATAATGTATTGCTGAATCCAGCCCAGGCCATGACTCAATTCATGCAGAATACAGCTGCAGGTGTCGTTCGTGGGATGCAGTCCGCAGTGGCCGTGGAGCATACCAACAATTTTGCAGCGTTTGAGTTGGTTCATGTGTAGACGGGCAAGAGAGTTCAGTGGATACTGCCTTTAAGAGCTAAGGTTTTGCACGAAAGCACGAAGGCACGTTTCAAACCTCCATCATAAAATATTACAGTACAAATATAGTTCAGTTCATTCTACTTGATCCACGTGCATTTTGGAGTGACATCAACCCTCTATTTGTAGGCCCAGATTC